CCAATGCCCGAATTTCCAAACGAATTAGCGGTTCTATTTGCACGACAACACCGCCTATCTGAAGAATTCCACAGAAGGATCCGCAACATCGGCGCTTGCTTTGCACTTGCCTCATTCAAAGTCGACGACGACAGAACCGTCAATCAACATGGAATCTACACGTTTATCGCCGGCGGTCAAGTCCATCATAAGATCAACCTGGCAACGCGCCCGACTCAATTTGAACAGCCGAAGTTTGCCCAAATGTACTTCATGGACCCGGACGAGGCTACAGCTGCGCGATCTGAGCTCAACCGAGCGTTAAGTCAAGAACTATTGCAACTACTCGAGGAGATCATGTGCTTTAACAACCCGTTCGCCCAATCGTTTATGATGATGAGAGAAGTGATCGAAGAAACCAACCAACGCGCAATCGCAGCCGGAGTACAACCGCCCAATGTCCACCTCGTCTTTACAAACCGTGNCGTGAAGGCGACGATCCTCGACGATTCAACGCACCAGTTGTAAACGAAATAGCCGAAGTCTTGACTCTCAACGCCGATCAAAGCATCCCAGAGAATGAAATGGTCATGCGAGAACGCGGAAAAAAAATCACGCAGCTGAGCAACATCGATGGTCGCGTCGAGCCTTTTACCTACCCGCTTTTCTACCCGAGAGGAACTTTTGGATTCTATGTTAGAATGCCGCTGCACACGCCTTATCCATCAAGAAATCATGTTACACGCGCAGAATTAGCCTGTTACCGACTCGCCTACCGTCCGAATTATGCCAAGCCACTCCCGATCGATTGCACAAATGCAGGAATAGATCAACGATTGGTCGAGTTTAATGCACTTCACTTTGGCGGACGCTTACTCCAGCAATACGTGGTCGACACCTACTTTCGTGTCGAAAGAAATCGCATACAGTGGATAAAGAGCCATCAGCGTGAAATTCAAGCCGAGAAATACGCCGGAGTTCACAACATGCTCAGAAGCTTGGTTGCGAAAAAAGATGCTGCAATTGGCGAAACAACCATCTTACCGTCATCTTTTCCCGGATCAACGCGCTGGTACACCGAGAATTTCGAAGACTCCATGGCATTAGTGCGAAGATTTGGATCGCCCGAATTTTTTATCACCATTACCTGCAATCCGCAGTGGCCAGAACTCCTGTCAGCGATACGCAATGAACTCAACGCAGCAATTCCGGAAAGCCTGTTGGCTCTAACCCGTCCAGACATCGCTGCAAGAGTCGCACGTCTTAAGTTCCGCCAAATCGTCGAAGACATCATGACGCATCAAATCTTTGGAAGAGCATCAGCGTACGACTTCACCATCGAGTTCCAAAAGCGAGGTTTACCGCACATGCACCTATTAGTGATTATGTCGCCAGCGGACAAGATTCACACCGCTGACCAACTTGACGATTTTATCTCGGCGGAAATTCCAGAAGATGATCCGGAACTCAAGGAACTGATCTCGAAATGGATGATCCATAACCCGTGTGGTGATATGAACCCAAGCGCTCCGTGCATGGTCAGCAAACATGGAAGAGACCTGTGCAGATGGGGATTTCCAATGGAACATC